ACACACACACACACACACACACACACACACCTACTTGTCTCTATAGTTGTGAGGACACTCATTGGCATAATGCTTCCCCTAGCCCCTAACCCAAACCTCGACTTATCACGACTAAATGCCTAACTCTGGGAAATGTTGTTGTCCTTCTTTTCCTTTCCCTTGCAGCATAAGAGTCCATGACTCAAATCCCAGGTAAAGCATCATGTAATATATTGTGGACAGTCTTTATACATAAAATGTGAATTTCGGCAGCTGTGCCATAATACAAACACATATAAAAAGATATAAAGTTATAAAATATGTTAAGTTACCCTGTTGTCCGTGCTCCTCTTGACACTCTAATTGTCCCCTAATCCTGACCTAAACCCAATTCTAACCCTAAAACCAAGTCTTAACCCTCAATCAACCTTTTGAATTTATGAGGACCTGCCAAAATGTTCTCACAAATCCAAAATGTCCTCACAATGATGGTAGTGAACCAAACTTGGCCCTCAAAACTATAGATAGAGAAGATTGAACAGGCTGAACACATTACAGCACACAAAGACGTCGGGGTCAGACAGGATTTAGAAAATGGAAATGACAGATGAATGAAGAGGAAAGTGTTTTCCAGGAGCCATGTAAGGAAAATCTATCTGTGACTAAAATCCTTAGTTAATGTAAGGTGTCCTGCTCTAGACGCTCCGTGCTTCAGTCAGGCGTTCACGCTCCAGGTGGACAGCAGCCAGGTGGGAGCAGGCGCCATCTTGCTTTAGGCAGATGAAAGGTGGGGGTGCAGTCAGCTTCTATTTATAGAAATGTCACCAGTTTAATTACTTTTTTTTTTTTTTTTTAAATGAGCTCTAGGTCAGGACAAGACGGAATGTTTGTGTGCAACCCTGTGAATTTCCACCACATAACCCCCCCCCCACACCTGAGGTTTGTGTTGGGGCCTCTTTGCTGATGTCTCACTCCCTCGTGTATTTCAACAGACACGTTTGAGGGTCAGTCTCAGCTTCAGTTTTCATGACGCTCAGTGGATTTGTCTTCTATGCCACAAGATCCCCGACCATGCCAGCGTTCACTCCCCATGCACACCCACCACTGGACCCCCTGGATTCCACCAGTTACAAACAGCCCATGCAGCCTGGAGTGTAACCATCACAATTAGGCCTTAGTCAGAGTCAAACACATCCCTACACTCGCCCAATTTACCTGCTTCCAACACTCTAACTGATTATTGACTTTCTGCCTAATGGCTGCGTCTGATCCCTGACTGGTGTAATCGTGACAAGATAATCAATGTTGCTCACTTAACCCGTCAGTGGTTTTATCATTGAGTCACACCTCATCATGCTGATTGTAGATGTTATAAACTTTAACTTTAAAAAGATTTACTTTACTAAAATGTGAAATGTAATCAAATCTTTAAATCTTAAATCACAAAGGTCAGACTTGCGACTTGCAAAATCCAGTGTTTCAACAAACTGAGCTACGAGAGGTTGTCCAAACTATACAGTGAATGTTTTTTTCCATATATTGCTGCAGCTCATGTTTGTTAAACTGATAAAACCTAATCAGCTTTGTGAGGAAACGTCCAAAACAGAATTTGGCTGAGAAATAAAATCAGCACAGCAAAGATTTTGGCTGACGATGACAAAGACTCTTCCAATAAATACAAATTTTGATTACAGTTGATGACAAAGTTGCGTGCGTGTGTGAGGGTGTGTGAGGGTGTGTGTGTGTGTGTGTGTGTGTGTGTGTGTGTGTGTGTGTTTGTGTGTGTTTTTCGGATTTGAAGCTGATCCAGGAGGACGCATTTGAGCTCAGTTGAGACAAAACCAGAGGCAGCTGCCAGGACGTGTTGTCTCTACTCAGCAGTTGGACTGAACTTCTGGTGAGAAGTCGTCAGCTCAGCTTTTTCTTGTGCTCGAGCTTTACCAGATGTCCAGAAATGCAGTCACACTGAGGTGCAGTGCGGCTGCGTCACCCAGAAAACACACTTAAAATACATCAGATTGTGATAACAAGTATTTCCATTATTGATTAAAATAATAATAATCGCATACAACTTACAAGTTGATCTTCGAGTCAGTATTTCTAGTCTGTTTCATTGATGGTGATCAGTGTCACTTGTTTGATGCTCAGCTCATTCTCTGTTTTCATCCAATCACGACCTAATATGGTCGCCTTGAGCCAATCGCCACGAGCTGTCAACGTTTAAAATGTTCTCCCTCCTGTCATTAATTAATGAGTGACCCACCTCCACCTCAATTCTAGATGCTGGGTCCTCGTTCAATCTATCCAACCAAGCCCTTCATGAGACGTCCCAGCTTTGTGCTCCACTCGTCATCCAGCAGGGGAGGGAGACCGCAGGCATCCCAACATGCAACAGCTCACCAAGCAGAAGGCATCACAACACCCTGCTGACAGAGCAGGTGACCCACGGTAGGAAGCAGCATCAAACAACACCGATGTTTTCTCTGAGTACTCCCTTGAACAGTTGAATGTAAGTGAGAATGTTTGTTGCTGTTCGTCGGCTCTGTGATACACCGGCAACCAATGTCAGCAGGGATTGACTCCAGCTCCCCCTGCGACCTGCAAACAAGATAAACGTTGGATGTATAAATGTTTGGATGTTTGGATGTTTGGATATATGAATGTTTGGATGTTTAAATGTTTGGATGTTTGGATGTATGAATGTTTGGATGGATGGATGATGGATGATGGATGATGGATGGATGTGCAGTCTCCAACTCTCAAACTTCCCCCACCCATGTATATAAAGCATCCACTGGCCATCCATCACCTCTCCTGTCTGCTGTCTCAGCAGTGTGTGTATATATCAGCCACATCTCTTCTCATCCACACACAACAAACAACATCTGAACAGTGACACCTCTCAGCGTCAGTCTGTCAGTTTCTCTTCAAAACCTGTAGAAGCCTTTCATCCTCTCAGACTCATTTTCTCATGGACCCCAATTAAAAGTGTGTTTTCCTTCCTCCTGTGTTTACGAGCAGGGACAAAACCATCGTTCGTTCTCAGTATATGTGCTCCGTTGAATAAAATTTTAGCACCACACTAGGAACGAGAGTGATTTTTCTATCCCTGTGCCTGTGTGATTCCCTGAAGCTGTTCAAGAGAGATTAGCTGAATTCATACTTTGCACAGTTCTGTTTTACCCACGAGCCCCGAGGGCTGAAGATTACTTGTGAAATTAAACTTTCTTTTTTTTTTTTTAAATCCTCATAGTTTATAAAGCCAGTCAAGTCTTTGATGTTGCTGTTCAGAGATAACAGTTTATTATTTTGAACCCAGATCCAATTTGTCTCATTTTCATCTTCATTATCTTCATCATCACCATCCTCATCCTCATCTTCATCCTCATCCTCATCATCCTCATCATCCTCATCATCCTCATTCTCATCCTCATCTCCATTCTGATCCTGACCCTCATTTTCATCTTGATCATTGTACTCATCCTCGCTGCCATTATCATCCACATCCTCACCCTCAGTCTTATGATTATTCTCATCATCATCCTCGCCATGATCCTGATCCTCATCATGATCATCATGATCATCATCACCAACATCATCATCATCATCATCATCATCCTCTGTCTCGTTGTGTCTGCAGTTTTTTTTGTGGTTTCTATTTCCGTCCTAATTTCACATTTATTGCCTTCAGTGTGTGTGTAAACAACATGGACAACAAGGCCACATATGTGATACTGGATCAGAGTTGGCATCACGCTCATTTTTGCAAACGCCCGGTTGTCATGGCAACCCAGCATCAGCAGCACCAGCCACCTCTCAGTGCAAGTATATCTCCAATCCCTGTGTACGTGTCCAGAACAATAGGCACCGGAAAACAATAAACGAGTAAAATAAAAATATGGGAGAGGACGTTAGTCGGTCTGAAAGATTTGCAACAAATTAAAATCACTGCAGGCTCGCTGCTCTCTCTGCCTGTCATGGTGGATTTCTGCGGAAAGGGAAGAGCTTTGAAGATTAACTTAAAACAACCAATCACACATATGCACACACACACACACACACTTACAGCTACTTGGATTGTGTGTGCATTTGCGTTGAGTTTCTCCCCAGAAGCACTTCCTTAAATCCCATTACATCCCCCCTTCCCCATTTTCACCCCCCAATTATTAAGTGGATCCAGTCCCCACAGCACAGACAGTTGGTATGGAAACGGATCAGTAAAGCTTCAAATGTCTCTTTTAACGACTCATTACGGAGTTGCTGACGCCCATTAATGTCTCTGCCTCCACGCTATGGCAGCGAGAAACCCCATCACTAACCCAGATTGCTGCAGGGATGACTGGGAATGTGTGAATCGTGGTAATCATCCTGCTCGCCTGCACTCTCACTCGTAATATTTCAATTTCCCTCCTTCTTGTATCTGAGTTTCTTTCATTTGCAAACCAATCATTGTGCCTCATGAAGGTGCCTCCACTGCTACGGAGAAAACATGATTGGAAAGATTTGCAACACACCTTTAATCATCCTCTGACAGGGAGATAAAATAGCAGAGGGTGGGCTGGGGGACTCCATGGGGTCCCATTCTGTTGGTCTGGCATTTCACACGCTGTGAAGTCCTAAATGGGAAAAGCAATACAGCGTCAATAAAAGCAAAAATGCCACGGGTCTGAGCAGAGAGAGGAGAGAGTGTTGATTCTGCAGAAAAAAGATCACAGCTATTTTATCACTCTGAGAAGCCCAGTCCCCGCAGAGAGCTCTGTGCTTCCTGCTCTGCTCTTTCTCTCATCTCACTGACAGGATACAAAACAGAGATGCAGAAGAGAGGAGGATAGTGAAGAAAGGATGGAAGGAAAAAGAGGGAGCATAGAAAAGGGGGGAGAGCACGTGCGACAGGAAAGAAGTGGATCTAAGAGGCCTTGAAGGAAAAAGCTTGTGATGTTGAAGCACCTAATCTTCGGTCTGGCTGATTTATGTGGCCTGGAGGTTAAGTGATCTAGTTCGGTCCCGGCTGCTGACTCAGCTTCCTGGTTAGAGCGTCGCTTAATGATCTGGATTTTTTTATTAACAGAAAGTGACGAATGAAAGGAATTTAGTCATAAACCAAAGTATTGGAGATGACAAGTGAATGGACAGCCTGATCTTATCATGCATTTCGCTGCTAGTGTGGTTTAAAATGTGATTATGCCAAGTGGAGGCCAGAAGTTCACTCAGTAACAATATTAATAAGATTAATAAATCAATGAGGGATTCAAATTACATCCAAATCAGAGAAGACTACCACTCAGAACCATGGATTATACCCATTTTAAGAAAAAGGCAAACAGTACACATTTTTTTGAATTTGTCATACATTAGGCAATAATTCTATATTATCTTAAATCATATTATATTATTTACTTTACAAGTATATATTGTTTTATCTTTTACTTTGCCACATACAATTACATAAGCACCAAAAGAATTCTGGAGTTTGCATGAGTAGGGTTATGGTTGGGGTTAGCAAGTCCAGAGACTGAGAGAATCCTTGTATCCTTGATCATTTCTGATTTCCTGTGTTATGAATTCAATGTTTTGAAATGGGCCCAATGGTTTGGTTCAGGTGTCAATATACTTAAAAAGTCCACATATCTTGACCCTATGATGTATCTCTGAAGTTTTTCAACTCCACATAATTGACTGTTATGTTGCTGTTATGGACTAAACACACAGTCAAATGTGACACAGAAATCATAAATGCTTTAAGTGTTTAAAAATAACCAAGGATAAAACAGAGGTAGGTTTTGATTCATTTAAAAAAAGGAACAGGATGAAAGAAGACAGAGATGAAGATGTGGCCATCATCATCCTCAGGGATCGTCAGCTTGCAGAAGCATGGAGAATGTTTTCATCTGCCTACGTCTGATAATGAAACTAAAATCTGTCTGTGCTGCTGATCTCTCTGATTGTGTTCATTAATTTTCATGTATTCAAATGAATAATTTACTGTAAATCTTGTGTATGCTGAACATGTCTTTGTCTGGTTTAAATGGTGACTTCTGTAATGTGTCTTTTGTGCTGAATTTAGAGCAAAATGTGAGCTTACACTGCCACCTAGTGTACAGTTCATACATCAGCCAAGGCCAAACAATCCTACACATGGTTGTCTAGTTTTTAAAAGTATAAAAATATAAAATAAAAAATTGGTCTGATAACTTAAATTATCTCTTTGTCATAAAATATGGTTAAAAAAAGTGAAAAAAAAATCTTTGCTATAAATGTTCATCAAAATGTGTGATGAAATTCTGGGCCTACAGAAAAAATATAACCCTATTTTACAGCAGATATAAATCATACGTGCACCACAATTCTATAGATCTGTGTTCAATCTTAATCTGGATCACCAGAAATAACAAACAGCCTATCTTCAGCAGTCAGATGAATTTAATGTGGTAAATACATAGGAGGGTATAAAGTGCTGCAGTACAGTTGTTGTGTTTTGTCGCTGCAGCGCCCTCGTGTGGTCACTAGGACTCTGCGGGCTGCGGTTTCCAAGGGAGGAGCAGGTGATGGTGAAACTTCACAGGGAGACAGGTTTGTACCGGAAACTACTTGGTGTACTTTTCAAATTAAAAACAGCAACCTGCACCTTTATTCTTGTACTATATATTGGGTAATTTGTAAAAAGAATATTTTTATGATTCATTTAAATTACGATGCCCAAAATATTTTTTAATTACTAGTAATCTAAATCATCTTAATTCAAGATAATGAATTACTGACAGTATTTACTGAAGCCGATGTTCTGTGTGTGCAGTGTCTCCTTGTGGTCGGTTTGTGTCTCTGCGTAGTTTGTTTGTGTCTCTGTGTAGTTTGTTTGTGTCGCTGTGTAGTTTGTTTGTGTCTCTTTGTAGTTGTGCTTTTTGTTTGATTTCTCTGTGTGGTCAGTTTGTGTCTCTCGGTGGCTGTTGTGCCTCTCCTCGTGGACTTCGTGTCTCTAAATCTGTGGCCTAATTGGTCTCTCTTTTGTGATTGGTGTGTATTTGTGGTTGTTGTGTGTCTTTATGTGGTCAGTTTGTGTCTGTGTAGTCTGACCTCTTGACCTCTTTGTGTTTGTTGTGGTGGTTTTATTTCTCTGTGTGGTCAGTTATCTGTCTCCTCGTGTTCCTTTATCATTTTGTATTACACCTCAGGTCCAGATCCCTGTGCCTGTGTTGAGTAACCCATCCTTGGCAACACATTTCCCCCAACACTGCTTTTATTTTGAAATGTAAAAGCCGGAAGCTCACCCTCATGGCAGTAAAGGTGGAGCAGCTATATACGGTGTATGGCTGTAATCAGTCAGTGTGTGTCTGTCTGTGGTGATGAACGAGCTCCGGTGCCGGCTGCAGGCGGGCGCACACGGGACGCGGCCTGATGCTTTGAATCAAAGGCAATAGTATCATGTTTAATTCTGGTCGTTGCAGTGTGTGTGTGGTGTTTTAGAGGAGACGATGCTGACTGACACGACTGTGGAGGAGGAATTTGAGATCAAGGAGGAGGAACCGTGGTACGACAAGCAGGACCTTGAACATGGTACAGTCTCCTTTCACTCTTTGTCTCTGAACCTTCAAGATAAAGAAGCTTATCGATACTTCATTTAACAGGCAAATAAGAACACACACATCCCAGCTGTTATACAGAAATGCATATTATGTATTTGACATATCCATCATATATTTAAATCCTGCAGGTGCACACAAGGTTACATTTGTAGGTTTCTTTGTGATGATCTGAAACTGTGATATTGATTATCTGCAAGAGTGAGTGATCTATTCGCTGGTTTAGTGGAGGTGAAGCAGCTTGACAGGCTGCTGAGAAAAAGCAGAAGTCAGCAGGACACTCATGCGGCAAAGAAGAAATACCAAATGATTTGACTCCATTTATCCCCTTTGTCTTCATTTCTTACATTAACACCAAAGCTTCTTTGATTTTCTGAAAAATATCCCCCTCGAATGTTTCATATTTTCATCCCAATTGTGCTATTTTCCTATTTACTCCAGATTCGGCTGGATAGGCCTGTCACATGTGGAAAGAATGAGAATCATTCATAGAAATAACCTTAAGAAATGACCCATGTGCACACACTGTCAGTTTGTAAAGGTGGATGAACCCTGTGGCACAAATTTGAAAAAGTGGGTTAGTGGTTGACCAGCAACTACAAACCATCTCAAATCTGCCAGTGCAGCAACATCCTGGCTGCAGACTGACTTATAACCCATGAGCACTCTCTCTCCTGCAGACCTGCAGCTGGCGGCCGAGCTCGGGAAGACCCTCCTGGAGAGGAACAGGGAGCTGGAGCAGGGGCTGCAGCAGATGTACTCCACCAACCAGGAGCAGCTGCAGGAGATCGAGGTACAGAAAGAGCTCTCTGATGTCTCTCCCTCTCACAATCTCTCACCTGACACTTGTTCTATCTTGTATCTTTGTACCTGGAATCCAGAGTTGCTCCAGAACAGAGCCTCAGGGAAGCCGCTTCCTTTAAGAGGCACCGATTTCACCATCAGAGGTTTATATTTTTAGAACTGCTTCAGTTTAGTTTCAACACTTTATTGAACAATAAAGTACAAGTTGTACCGCAGGAGAACACGGGATCAGGAGATTTTCTAATTACTAATGTTGGTGGAGCTGTTTGTATTTACTGATCCTAATAAGATGCTGGAACTTGTTGTCAGTCATAACACATTGGAAAACACATCTCTTTGCAGTAAAGATATAAATAAAACCTTATTCACTGAGTTCAAATAGTTGAAATAGGAAAAACATATATCTGTAGTCATAGTATTTTGCAGTATTCATCTCTCTCTTCTCATAATCAGATTAAGAAATGTATGTGATCATTCCATCATTCATCGGATTTTATCTCAAACTAAAAAAACATAAACTGAACATTAACTTTCACTCTCACACAAACGCAGGATATTTTTTTAATGCCTAGTTTAGATTTTCTTGAGTAAGGTGTCTGTCAGTAAATCCCTTCTCTACATGTCACTGTTGGCACACGAGATTAATCTGTTTAAGACCTGATGAATGAATGAAACCTGACCTCTTTGACGTCCTGTACATTCACGTTATTCATTGACTTCTGGCTGTTTGTTTACGTCCGCTGTATTTGTGCAGTGTGAGGTTGAGCTGTTGGGGCTGATCTGTTGTCAGCGTGAAGTTGGTGTTGAGTGTGTTTGTCGGTTTTCAGCAGGTTGTGAGACGAAAGCTTCAAGGTGTTCTGGCTGCAGCAGCTGATAAGCTAACCTGATATCCTTGATAAAGAAACTGATGAAGCTTTTAGACACTTTTAGGTTTTGGTGGAAATAAAAAGGTTTGAACTTAAATTACAAATTTTTTTCTAGGAAACTTTTACCAAGTGGTACCTCACCCACAGTCATCTAATGTCATTTATTTACTTTAGATACAATTTTACCTCATTGATATGTATTATTTCTTGAGAAACTCGAAAATGCGATATCTCACAATGTCTCTCTCTCTCAAAAAAAAAATCCTGGATCTGCCCCCTCAATAAACTCTGCTCCAAATGTTCACGTGTTCTTGGCCCTGCCTTTCCACTAAGTCTCAATACAATCATTTCAGCAGTTTTAGTATAAACCCTCCTTTTAAGAGGTAATAATGATGACGACTGGATGTTTCATTATAGACATCTTAGCAAATGATGTTCAATAAACCGTCCTCTCTCACACCTCCACCTCTGTCTCCTGCAGTACCTGACGAAGCAGGTGGACCTCCTCAGGCAGGTCAATGATCAGCACGCCAAAGTGTACGAGCAGCTGGACGTGTCGGCCAGAGAGCTGGAGCAGAGCAACCACAAACTGGTGGTGGACAGCAGGACGGGGCAACAGAGGATCCTGGGGTAAGACAGGAGATGTGAAAATGGACAGATGTGCAAAGCGTCGTCTTTTATATAAACTAACAGAGTTGTGGGTTCCTCTGTGCAGGCTGACAGAAACCGTTGAGCTGCTGCAGACGCAGGTGGAGGAGCTGCAGCATCAGGTGGAAGAGCTAAAGTTGAGTCCTCAGCCTCAGAAGCCTCCGCACAGGGAGGGGTGGTCAACTCGCAGCAGTCAGAGTGTGTCCTGTCTGAAAGAGCTGCAGAGCACACTCAGGTGAGGAACACACACACACACACATACACACACACACACACACACACACACAGATGTATGTTCAAGTACTCATGTTTGGTATTAATTAGTTTATTTACATGAATACAGTATATTCATATCACAAAACTCCTCGGCTGTTTAATTGATTTGTTAATTACATTATACATTGACACACACTGTTGGCAACCTGGTCAGCAGAACTGGTAACATTTAACACATCCTAATGATTGCTGGAAATGATTCCTTATCCTGGTTAAAAAAAAATCTGAGCTGCGTTGATCCTAAAGCTCTTTGTCAGCATCAAGAAGGGAAGCAGTAAATCCTCCTTTAGCTGCAGCTCCTCTATGTGTGCCAATCCTGCTCACTGACCATTGGCCCACGTCTGCCTCAATGTTTTCATGCTGTGGTCACTTCATCTTATCATAGCCAGAGTTTAGTGCGTGTGTGGTTGTGTAATCCTGTGTGGGCCGGTCCATCGCTCCAGGTGGATGAAATCTCAATGATGGTAGAGAAAGTCAGAGTGCAAGTTGGAGGGAAAGAGGTCAAAGTCTGAGCTGGGGCGGTGTGAACATGTCTCAGTATCTCCTGGAGGCTGGAACTGAGTCGTCAGCTGATTTCTAATCACTTTGTTTCTTCTGATAAGTTCCATTAATTCACCCCATGTGCTTTATTTTGCTGGGTTTGACCCAACAGTCTCCTTACATTCAATCAATCTGCACCACATTGCACACAATCAAAAATTCCCAAAATGTGCCTGTTTTTTTTCCTGATAACATAAATGTCACAAAATGCCATATCTTGTAATGTTACAGAAAGTAAAAAAAAAACAAAAAACCTTATCCCCTCCTGATCCAGATCCTCAACAAAATTTAACGGGTTCTTCTTTAATCAATACCACATCTTCCACCAAGTTTCATGGAAATCTGTCCTGTAGTTTTTGCATAATCTTGCTAACTTACAAATGCCAGTAAAAACATAATTTCCTCGGCAGGATATATAAATACTGTATACACAACATGCATGTAAAAATATACACAAACACATAAAGGGATATTTAGAGGTTGAAATACAAATTGATTTTAAATCCTTGACATTGTTTGGTTGTAATTTGCCAAATATTGATAAATTGATTTGCATATATTTGTTAACCTGTCACATGTGCAGCTACGTTTCCTTTAAGACTGAACCTGGATTGTGACCTTTGGTACATGTTGCCGTCATCTCTCTCCTCAGTGCATTTCCTCTCACCTTTCACTTTGTTTTTGGCTCATAAAAAAAAAAAAAAAGTTTGATAAAACGCTCTGAACAAACCATAAAAGAGAAGATCAATTATGAGCCTGTGTGGTCAAGTTAATGTTAATAAAAGTCCTAATTAAAGTAGCCAGACTAAAGGAGATAAGAACAGAAGCATCTTTCCTTCACATTTAGAGAGTTCATCACATCAATCAATCAGTCAAACTTTATTTATATCGCACCTTTCAAACTAATCAATTGCAGTTCAATGTGCTTTATTAGCGATTGCTGAAATGTTAAAAAAGGATTCATAAATCCCAATGCACTCATATAATAAATGATAAAATGATAAAATCTTAAAAACAAGACAGAAAAAACAAGAAAAATAATTCTAAAATACCACCAAAAATGGAGTACATTTAAAAAAAGAAAATGATATCATAATAAATAAAACCAGTTTGAATTCTAATAAGCCTATTTGTTGTGTTATTTGGTTTTCGGTAGCCTTATGAAAGTGTGCATGAGTCTCTGTAAAACCAGCCCCTGTTGTGTTTGCATGGATTAAACAAACAAGATGGCGAGGTGAAGATGGGTGGATGTTGTAGCATTGGACAGAACCTGTTTCTCCCTGTTTGTAAGATCAACTACACGTCTGAGTGGCATCAATTCTTTTTATCTGACTCTCAACGAGAAAATCCAATCAGAAATCGGGATCTGCAAGAAAAGTACGAGTGTGCATTGCAGATACGTGGTTTATAGCATCATGTGTGTCTGTGCAGGTACGACTGTGACCCCGATGAACCCTCAGACGACCTCGAGTCCTCCGACGTGTCGTGGCACGAGGAGGAGCAGGCGTCACTGCGTCAGTCCCTCCGCGCACTCCAGACGCAGTTCGCCTGTGAGCGGGCTCGCAGGGAGGAGGCGGTGCGAGAGGCCGAGCTGCTCGCTGGCGAGAACGCGACGCTGGAGCAACAGCTGACCAGGATGGAGGGATGTCAGGTGTGTGTGACAGATTTCAGCTGTGTGTTTGTTTGCAGGACATTTCTGAACAGACACAGTTACTAAGAAATACACATTAAAGGGATAGTTCACCCAAAAATGAAAATTCACTCATCATCTCATCACGATGACGATGGAGGGGTGTGTGAAGTGTTTGAGTCCACAAAACCCTTTTGGAGTTTCAGGGGTAAACAGCGTTGTAGCCAAATGATTCAATTACAATTGAAGTAAATGGTGACCACTGCTTCACCAGTAAAACAATTACAAAAAATATGAATGTCGGGGGCTGGATGACACCACAGGAGCAGTATAGACGCATGTTATCTTTTTATTCTGTTGTTTTTTTACGTTTGAAGAAGTGGTCACCAGTTACTTCAATCGATGTGGATTTGGCTAACATTGTCACATCCTGAAGTTCAGTCTGTGTGTCGCTCTGACGTCATCTCTTCTCTCTCATTTGTCTCTCCTCCTCAGGCCCGAGTCCACGAGCTGGAGCGTGAGGCCGAAGAGCTCCGTCAACTCTGGAAATCACACTCCTCCACTAGAGCCTCCAGGCCGGACTCCGTCATCCACAACCTGCTGCCGGAATCGCTGCTCCTCCACCCAGAAGAGGAGGAGAACGAGGGTGATGCAGCTGCAGCTAGGAGCCCCTGGGTGCTAAAGCGCTGGGGCCAGGAGAAGCCTATAAGGGCCACGCAGGTGCCCGACTGCCCCGACAGGATCTACGACCACGAATGCTCCTGTGTGCGCCGAGCCGAGGTGGTGAAGTACCGCGGCATCTCGCTGCTCAACGAGGTGGACGCCCAGTACAGTGCCTTGCAGGTGAAGTACGACGAGCTGCTGCAGCGCTGCCACCCGGGGCCACAGGAGCTCGAACAGGACGGTCAGAGCCATAAATCGGTCCAGACGCCGTCCCTCACTTGTCCTGCTCTCACAGACATGAAGGACTTTGAAGAGGACTTTCACCAGCCTGAGTACAAGGAACTTTTCCGGGAAATTTTCTCCCGCATTCGTAAAACCAAAGAGGACCTGATGGAAAACAGGGGGAGAACCTCGGCCGGTGACGCGCTGCCTCTTTTGCATTAGCTGCTTCCAGAGAAAAGAGACATAAAGACCTGCTGCGAGATGAATGATCGTCTTCCAGTTACTGAGCGATTTACACCTAAGACTTTACCAACAGCACATGCAGCTAAGTCAACACTTTGCCCAGAAATGTCCAGCAAAGACAGAAGAGTGATGCAGAAACAGGACGACCAAACACCACCAGCTCGTTTCTCAGATGTGGCTCATTTTGCACAGAAACACCAGTGCCTAACGCTGCCGTCTCCACCGTGCGATCACTCTACCTCACTTTGCATAGACCCGTTCTTAAACCTGAGGAAACCGTTTCTGGGGAATAATCTGTCATCTCTTCATACACTGTCTGTAATGCTGTGTTTTACAGGTCCTGTAGTTTCCTTTATAAATGAATGTAAATTTACAGAAAGGTTCCTGGAAAAGACCTAAAGAAGAAGTTTGGTAAGAATTACAGAGAAATTGGAGAATCCAGTTAAGATATTTCAATTAATTGCTGGTGTGAGGTAGAAAGTTTATTATTCAGTGGAAAACATTCAAAAAAACGTTCTCTACACTACGTCTTGGATTAAATTTAATAAACGATTAAAGTAGTTTCCATGCAGCAAACAGTTATTTTCATAACAGATTAATCTATTCATTGTTTGTTTTTTTTATTAATCAATCACTTTGGTCACAGAATATTCAGGAAGTACCAAAAAGATTGATTCTTGCTTTAGTATTCAATTTACAATGACACAAATCAAGAAGAAGAAAAAAACAAGTCTTCACATTTCAGTCAATGGAGCCAGATACTTTTTTTTTGGCATTCCTTGGAAGAATTTAATTAAAAAATGACATTAAACAGATAAAGAAATTACATGATCAACAAATCGTTTTAGCTCCACAAAAGTGAACTAAACCCTCAGAAAAATGTTCCCTGTAACTTCGTACCTTTTTTCTAGGGAACATTTGGGAAGTCGCAGATCTGTAAAACAAATTGCTCCACTTGAATCTGTTTTGATGAGGGTCTTGGAATAAACTAGTGTTTTGTAATTGCAACATGTATTGCTCTGAAACTTGATTATTGTATGTTAGGTTAGATGATGTGAGTGGATGTTATATTAAAGGGACGTTCTGTGGTTCAAAATGAAATAACTTGATAATGTAGCGGCCTCCTGATGTATTCGCCTCAGGACGCCGGTGTATGATTAGAAGCTTTTTTTCCCAGCAGCACCTCTGTTGCATTCGCAGTCTGGGCACATGTATGTAAACATCCTGTTAAGTCCCATTGAAATGCACTTTAGAATTGCACAGGCTCTTCTGACACTTTATATCTCATGTGTAGTTAATGCAAAGCGTGATGTGCTACTGTTCCAATCATATTCTAGACCCGAGTAACCTGCATAATGTTTGAGTGTCTGTACAATGTGCTTTTTACCTGTTTCATGACTGGACCTCACAGTTACTGTTATTGCTCTGAGCCATAAAACATGAAGCAAGATGCGACGGCAGCCGTGTGTCTTTTTTCTGTCATTCATTACTAAATATGATCTAATCAAGGGGTGGATCATGGGGTGTGGCCAGGGAGGCAGTGCTGAAATCTGATTGGCCTCTGATGTGCCCCTGTCTGTAGACCTTTATAAAGTCACTTACCAACAATGCTAACAATAAATATGATTTTTTTTTTAGGTTTTTTGAAGTACAATTGGCCCCTTTATAGATTCAGGAAAAAGCTAAGATTTGCCTGATTCAAAATCTGACCACAAATTCAGCTCTGTAAGTTTAAGAAAGTTTTTGCCAACTTTGAAGAAATTCCCCCCTGCTGTTCTTGAGATGTTGCACCCACAAGACCAAAATTGTGTTTTCTGATGTCACAGTGACCTTTAACCACCTAAATCAAATCTGTTCATCCTTGGGTCCAACTCTTCTGTAATAAAATTGAAGACATTCCCTCATGAAGTTCTTGAAATATTGTGTTCACAAGAGAGGGACTGGCAGTAGCAAAGAAATTATATAAAAATAAAAAGTGTATAAAGGCTATAATGACGTCAAAATAACACTTGACATGTTTATTGAGCAAAGTAACAAACCAATGCAAAGAAAATAATACAGCTTTCATTTGCTGATGCAGGAAATCCTAACTTTAGCCTGATGTGAACACTTGAGGATCAGATTTACAGTCTAAATGTCTTCAGTCAAACTAAAAACATTCTGGTTCCTCTAATTCATCATATGAACAAGTGGGAGTTTGTCTCGATCGCTTTGAGGTAGAGGCACTTCAGATGGAGGCTCCGGATAGCAGCGCATGTTGATATACCAGTGTATCCATGGCAACAACACTTCCATCGCCCAAACAACGCTCCAAAGACATCCATTCTTCTTTTCTTTTTTTAGCATGCACCCAAATTAAATCTTAGAGAGATTTATGACAAAACTTTAATATTGGCTCTCATCAAATCAGTCACGTGATTGCCTCTCACAAAGAAAACATCTCTGCATTCAACAAAGAAAAAAATCCTCATTGGCAAGTGTTTCATTCACTTCTTCTCAAATTTAACATTAGACTAAATAATTCAGGAACATGGAAAAAGCTACATTTGATGCAGCAGTTTCCAGCTCCGTCAGTGCCCAAAAAGAAATAAGTGATTTCAGTTGAATATGATGAGAATAAGGATTTTAGGGACTTTTTGCATCCTTTTTCTCCCTCCCTCCCTTTTGTTGACTTGAGTTTGGCAACGTTTTCCCAAATTTTGCTTTAACACAAATGATTTACATCATCCTCGCTTAAAGCTCACTTTTCCCATGTGTGTATCGATGGTGAAGATCCATCAAAAAGGAGTTAATTTAAGGGATAAAAAAAATGTAAGAATTAATGTTTTCTACCCAGAAGGCCTAAAACAATGTTTGCTTCGTTGACAATTCTCCATGGTGACATTTAATCAAGTAAAATATATTTAGCTGTGGTTTGTTTCCATGGTAAACATGCCCCTGATCTGGTAAAATCTTAATTCAAAAATAAGGGTCATAAATCTACAGATAAACTGTTTACGCATCTGGCTATTTCTTTATTGTTGTATATTTATTATTGTATATTTATTATTTGCCCTCAGTGTCTCCAGCTGTGAGTATGTGAGGAGCTTCAGTTCACCATCAGAGTGCTCGCTCTAACGTTTCAGACGAAACGAGAAAAGTTTAGAGTTCTGAGCAGAGCCAACAGCTGAAATCTTTGTCTTCCAGTCAGCCGCCCGGCCTCAGAGCTGGGCAAGCTGCGATTGGCTCTCGTCCCTCTTACTGCCCTCCCACTGGACACCCGGGAGAGGATTTCATTGGTTGTCGGTGAACCGCAGGGGGCAGGATGTCAGTGTCAAGACTGAATCGTTCCCTTGAGGTACCACATCCCTGCGTGGCTGATGCAGCACTCCTGGAACCAGAGGATGAGATACATGTGAAAAAAGAATCCATTAAAAAAGGCGAGCATTAACTCTCATCACTAATCTCACCTTGAGCAGCCGGTCGATGTCCGCCTTAGGTACGTCTCCAAACTCCTGTGTCAGTCGCACTTGTATCATGTTCCTCCTGATGCGGTAATTCTTTGTAAACACTTCAAACAGCAGCCGGCGGTGCTACAGAAAAAAGAATCAATTAAAAACATTGTGAGAGCCCATGTTCAAATGTTTCCAGCTGAAATTATAAACAGAAAAAGAAACTTGAGGTGAAAATCCCCACCCAGGCTACAGACTGAAACCTGCTGCATGTGCTTTCTGAAATTCAGGTAAAAATCAGCAATCATTGAAAGACAAGAAGGATGTTGAGAAGGATGTTATGATATGAGCGATGTTATGAGGGAGTTTACCGTGTCAAAGTCTTCACCAGTTTCCCACAAACCGAACACCTTCTGTTCATCAGTTGCTGCTATGGTCTGAGCAGGAAACTAAAGTTAGAAGGAAAAGAGCAAAGTGACAAAAGATGTTACCCAGGTCGTTCAAATCTCTAAAGCTGCTTTCACCAGTGTCGATCTGCTGTATACAAAAACAGATGATTTCCACAGCAGAACATATACATATATATATATATATATATACACACACACACACACACACACACATATATGCAACTTCCTGTATCTTGGTTCAACCCTTGTCTGAAAGCTCTTCAGATTTCTGTAGTTGTTGTGAACATGTGTGACCGGGGAATCTCCTGCTGCATTCTTCATATGTGAAATGGAAACTCTTAGAGAAACTCTGGACCTAATTGTGTAGATGTTTTACAGAAATCATTTCTGAAAAAGGCTTAAACCTGCTCAGACACAAGCTCAGTCCTCCTCCATCCTCTGTCAACATGCACACGCAAATAAAGATCCGCACAATGTACACAAAGCATTCATCTTCATTAAACGTCTGATTTAAGCATGCGAGTGCCTGAGTATTTAATATGTTGCTTCTATGTCCTGTAAATATGTCTTTGACTTTTTAAACAAGTTACAAATTGTTAAAAATCTTCAACATTTCCCTCAGAAACGTAATTAGTCTATTTAATTTGTCGTCCACAAGAGCAGGTCGACCCCCAGACGACTCAACACTAACTGCATTACACCAGGGTTTACCCTCCAGACACGACCCACCGACTCAAAACTGATCTATAAACCACCAGACATCCAGACAATATTGTTAACGGTGACACAGAAGAGAAGTTATCTGACTCCAGATCTGCCTGCGTTTGCAAGTGACATTGCAGATTAACCCCCTCCTTCAGCAGTAATGAGCTTTGCTTGGAGGCCAATAATCTCTTGCATAATAAATATGGCACCCGGCCAGTCCCTGCCCTACAGCGGCTGAAATCCTCTCATGTCGAGGATAGAGATGGGATAAAGCCTAAGCCAGGACAGGGCTGGTCCTGGCAGGAGACCTGGCTGCTTAATGAAACAAATGTGTGGGGCACGGACCAACCGGCTCTCTGCCCTACGAGCAAACACCACACCAAGAAAAACACAAGGAGACTAATGACAGAACACAACTGACTAAATAAAGCCTACAAACAGCCACCTTAGTCCAAACCCAGAGGGCACAGCAGGTATCAGGTGGCTGCTGGGACTTCAGTGCAACTTGAGAACCACTTTGCTTCAATGCACTTTTTCCTTTACAAGCATCGAAGTGCTGCTGAGAAAATCAACCGTTAAAGTCGTTATTTCTAGTGAGAAATCTGATAGCTGTGCTCAAGCTCCCAGGAAGAAGAAAAAAACTTGACTCTACACAGCTTCCAATCCAAGACAAAGAGGATATGTAATCCGTGCACCTCAAAACCCGACAGGGAGGTAACACAGGGGAACATTTAATTCTGCTTCCTCCTGGGTCTTTGCTCTGTGCTTGTCTGAACAAAAGTTAAACCATGCATGTTTGAAAAGTCCCAGCTCAACAACACATGATGAGACGTCATCATTCTCTCTTTGCGGCTTCAGTCTGCTCAGTTACGTTCTGTTGCTCTACTTTCCAGTGACTTGCTTCATGTACAAACAGTGGATGTGGTCACCGCACCAACTTCCTGTTGTTATGTGTGATCTCTGCACTCACTTGTGTATTCTGCTGTCCTGTGTTTGTAAATCATAATCTGTCATTCATGCAAATAACCCATTTGTGTACATTACCACATAAAAAAAAAAAAAAAAAAAAAAAAATCATGCATTGTCCTGACAAATAAGAAAAATACAATTTTGAAAGCTGGAACAAGGGAATACTTGTTGCTTTTGCCAAAAAAATATGTGTTGAAATCGTCAAAAACAAGCGTTTCATGCAAACTGAATGTGTTTAGACTGGAGTGCAGCTCTGGCCACAACTTTCAATCTGAAACTACCCAAACTCCAGAGCAAACTAACCGAGCCCGACCCGAACACAACAGACATTTTTATGTAAGAACTTGATTCAAGCTCTACGTTGTTCTCCATAACAGGCACAATCACGTTGGATGGGCTACTGATATAGCCCATCCAACGTGATTGAACCTGACCTGAAGCGGAATATCATTTTAAGCTTGGTGTCTGAACCTGACCCAACCACACAGACGGAGAAAGAGAAAGGAAAACAGGAGCATCCGGTGCGATTTTGAGTTTAACATCCAAAAAGCTTGTGAATCTTTCACTTTGTTTCCCTGCCTGGATACTCACAGGCACCATTATCTGTTTGCAGCGGCAGAGCAGCATGGCGTCCTGCAGCACGTGGTCCGAGACGGATTGGAAGACACTCCATCCTGCTGGCATGGAAGCCAGGTGGAGGTTAAACAGCCTCTTTAGCTCGTTCAGCGTCAGTACAAAATGCTTCCTGAAAGTCTTTGTAACAAAGTCCTGCAGCTCTGGGGACGGCGTGTTGCCGTTAGTGTGATCGAAGTTGGGGGAGGTGGTGCTGGGGTAACCATTTACAGAACCGTTGGGGAGGGAAGAGGAGGGCGGGGAGGTAGTGTCCATGGGTTCGTCTTCCTTGTCGCTGACAGGTTCCTGTTTGATGTGGACGG